TTTTACTAAATATTACAGCTGATACTTAGATGTTTAAGAAGACAGATTACATATTTCTTCAATCTAGCAGTACAAAAATGTATGATGCCTCATACTTGACATACCTGAACTACAAAATTGACTCCCAAGATATTAGAATAGCTCTACTCAAAATGGATTTGGTGATGTTTATCTTCAAACTTTTTATTATATACTATAATGCAATAAGTTTAAAAATTGAGAATACCAATTGAGCATATCAATTATATGTACATATCTATTGAATCTGCTAATAACAAACTGAGGCCTTACACTGGGAAAAATTTGGCAAGTTTTCTGTTTGCCTTTTAAAACTTCGTTTTTTAAAATAATTCATTTCCCCCTTATTTTACAGAAGCATTTTTCATAAAACTTAGGCAAAATAGGATTCTCAGCACATATAGTTTAATAAATGCTACTACAGAATGTTATACAGTGATGAAATAAATAGAAAAATCTTGTTTCCTATGTGGCAAATGAATTTTACAATAGCACTTGCTTTGTAAAAAAAAGCACACTTCCACTTTTGCCCCAACATGAGCTTTTAGTAACAGAAGATCATAGATTTGAGGAGTTACCATTCTGAATTATGTGCAACACAGTTACTATTTGTAACAGGTCTTTGCAAACACTTTCATGAGCACTTAACCTAGATCTAGAGTCAGACTGCCTTGTTTGACAGGTTAAGGGTTCTTTTACCATTGAACTGTATGGAGCCACCACATTTGACTTTTAGTCTTTCCTGACTGTTCCATGTCACTGATTGATTATCTTAGTATAGAATGTCCTTTCATGTGTCTCCTTTTGTTTTCCTCAAGTAATTAATTTGGTAATTACTGCAAGTCTGGCAGACCTAATTATTCTGTTTATTAAATGCTTATATCATTCCAGGACCCAGATAAAATGACTTGGAACCCACACTTGGCAAGTATAGAGACATAAACTTTGGTTTCAAAAGATGCATTGGTTTAGATGGTATTTCATAGGATCACTGTATGACTGTCATCACTGTCACCTGTTGTTCTTCGATTTACTTGAGCAGGCACCAGTACTGTCTCCATTCATCCCAGCCCTGAGATTTTAGCAGCCTCTCCTTACTTGTCTTTCCCAATGTATTGGAGGCTCTTCCAGGGTCAGGGTAATGAGACCTGTTTTTATTATTGTTTTTGGCATACCGAATATGCCATAGCTAGTTTTCCAGGCTCTGCTGTGCGGGTGGGATACTCTTGGTAGCTTGCTGGGCTCTCAGAGAGGCATATAATTTCATAGGATAAAGAGAACAATAAAAAGGAGCAATTTCATCTAGTCAAAATTGTTAAACGGAAAATATCTAAGGTTTTGCCTCTTCAACAGGGTTTGTGATGGCTCAGCTATTTCAGAATATAAATGTTTAGTTGAGGATATTTCAACCAAAGAGTTTTTTTCTTTTTGACTTAGACACTGCTCTGGAAAACACAAAGCTTTATAATTAGACTAAGTTGGGCCCAAATCATGATTTTGTAACTTAACTGGACCAGTAATGCAAGACCTGTACTGTCTTTGATCATCAGTTTCTTAATCAGTTAATAAGGGACTAGTGGTATCATATAAGATCATCATAAAATTCAGATAATATTTGTTCTTTTAAAATTCAGCTAATAATAATCACTTCTCGACCTTTTGGCTAAGATCAAGTATAGTATCTGTTCTTATCAGTTTAATAAAATTCAGCTAATAGTCTTTAATTAATCAACAGTGACTAACAAAATTCCTTGAATAAACTCAGACTTTAAAATATAAAAAAAAACATATTTATTTAAAATAACGCTTTGGATTTGGCAGTCTCAGTAAACAGCAGATGATTTAAAAATGTGACTGACTCTTCCCAAGGACAAGTATCTTCAGCTTCTTTTCACTCTGCCTAGAACTCTTTGCTCCAGCCAGAATAACTTTCCCATGCGCGTGACTTGGCTCATTCTTATTTTTAGTTATTTGTGCTTTGCACTCTTCTTCAAATGACCTTACAATGCCTCTTGGCCAAACCCCATACTCCTTTCAGATTGTTCCTCATTTGTGTAGTCCAGGAATTGGCAGAAAGATCACACTGGTCATATGATCTACTCCAACTCATCTTTCGGGACTTCCAGAGAGCTACCTTAGGCCCCACTGTGGCAAATGTACTTGCTATGATTTCCTACACATTTTTGTTTCCATATTTGTATATTCTATCTCCCTGTCAGAGCTATCAAGTTCCATTTCTTGGGGCTACACTAAGGGCATTCAAGTTCAGAGGCTGTCACTTACCCAAGTCATACAGTTTATGACTGATTTTAAACAGGTAGCAAGCTCTTTGCATTTTAAGTGTAGTATTGTTTTCATTTTGTGAAAACCTACTATACTTGGTGCCAGGGCAAACTGGTATTCTCTGTCCAGTTAAGAAACAAACAGTAGGGGAACTTTAGGCAGGGAGAGGCAATCCTAGAAAGAGCTAGAACCAATGTGAGAGGGAGAATGAGTGCTTAGACAAAATAATTGGCTTTCTTCAGGCATTTCTCATTAAAAGAACAAAAGGAAGAAAACTATGAAACACCTAAATACTACTACAACTACCATCACCACCACAATTTCTGCTTTGCTTCTATTTTATGCTTAATAAGCAATACTACTCCTACTGCCAGTAAACACAGAACATTAAGTCTTTTCTCCTTGATACTCTAGATAATATATTAGATTTGGGTCAAAACTTTTAAACTGCAAGTATGTTAAAAAATACAATTAGGAAAATAAAGGGTTGTGAGGATTAACTCAGGACAAGAGTGCGTGAGAATAGTACATACATATTTTTATAAAACGGGTGCAAGCACACTTGAACTGATGTTTTCTATAAAAATCTGTTGGCTGTGAATAGGAAAGAGTGAAGTGCGGCAGGAGAAAGGAATGGGGGATCAGTGGTGTCTGCTTCTTGTCAGCCAGCTTTCATGTAAAAGTCATGGCAGGGTCAGCAACAAACTAGCCAGGTGGCAACTCCAGGCCATGCTGCCATAAATAAATACTTATGTACTAATGTCACACAACCAGAGTAAGATGCAAAGCATATGGGAGTAAAGCTTTCTGATGTAAATAGTCAGAGAAAAAAAAAACATAGTTTCTGAACGTGAGATCCACTATTGGTGCTGGACTTTGAGACGCCTAGGAAAATTAAGTGGCAATGCTTTTTTAAAACACCTGGAATAAAAGATTCTTTGAAACATAGATTCCTTTAAAAAATTCCAAATATTCCATGTAAAATTGTGTGACTACTATTTTAAGAGTTGGTGGTTGGTGTAGTTAATTCAGCATTATTCATAGGTGGCACAGATTTGAGACCAAATTTCAGGAGCTTAAGTAAGTGTGCCAGTAGTGCCTACTTATTCTCATGACTTGTGAGAAGTTACTTCTCATGCTTCAATTTAGTCGTTGAGTGCAAGAGAGGAGGACCGTGACGATAATGAAAGAGCACCTGCTTCCTAGGTGATTCTTAGGATTCAGTCAGTATGTGAAGAGTGTTTAAAAACAATACCTGATTCAGTGATCTTTATTATCAAGTGGTCTTAGTGGGGTATTTATCTTATATAGTCTAGTTTCTGGACACTACGCTGAGGAATTATTTACTTATAAGATCCTGTTCAATTTTAGCAAGCACTGTCACTGTCCTCCCATTGTTCATCAATTTTGCTGGAGCAGGCCCAGTAACGTCTCCATTGTGACACTAGTTACTGTGTTTGACATATCGAACACTACACGGTAGCTTGCCAGGCTTTGCCATGCGGGTGAGATACCCTCAGTAGCTTGCCAGGCTCTCTGAGAGGGGCGGAGGAATCAAACCGAACGTCCTACAGACTGGAATCAAAAATCAATTTTACGGGCGTGATCCCTGAGTCAGAGCTAAGAGTCAGCTCTGAGCTTCACCGGGTGTAACACTAAAAAGGAAAATTTAAAAAATGTTTAAAAATTTTTGCAATGGAATGAAAACTTAAATGGATTCAAGAATTTATTCTAAATAGGTATATATAAGCTAAGCTTCCGGAACTTCAGATATTTTCCCCCAAATCACTCACACATTTCTTGATATCTAAACACCTTTTCATTTGCTTAAAATAAATACTAGTATGTGCAAAGAAACAATACAGAAACTTCTCAGACACAAATAGATTTAAAGGGAGGAAGAGGGGGACAAAGGAGGGGCTAACTCCCAGTAAACAGCCCCAGGAAAAACTAAGCTCGGCTCATAACCCCTGGGAAAGCAGATTAATTCATTCATCCAAACATGTGTTGAGTGACTACTAGTTACTGAGGTTGGGGATGCAGCGACAAAGGACTGAGTTCAGTCCTCCAGCATCTGAAGGGATCTGTGTTTGGGGACGGGCAGGGGGCCGGTGACCACTGAGGCCTGTCTGTTTCCGATCTTGGGCCACACAGTCTTCCGTGCCAGCAGGGCTGTGTGTTTATAGCTATCCCCGCGGGCTCCACCGCTCAGTTCAAGTTCAGGCTGCGGGGAGCCTTTCCTGGAATGAAACCTTGGCAGACCAGGTCCGTCCCCGAGCGGCGCTGACGCGGGCGCATTTGAAAACGTCTTCAAATCGCGCGCCCGGGCAGGGGCTCTCCCGGGCTCAAACGTGGGGCACCGTGAGTACCATGCCGCCTATTTTGTGCGTCAGGAAATCCCATGATTCGCACACGGTATGAACTCCACGAACCGGCGAGGCTGGTTCTAGGTGGCAGCCGCTGGAATCCCGACCTGCCCGCTCACACTTAGGTGCAGCGGTTGACGACGGTCACTACTTCCTGTTCGCTCTGCCCTTACTTGACATGGCGGCGGCTTGCCGTCTTCTGTGCCTACTGCGGCTGCGCAGAGTGCTGTCTGGCCCGCCCTCTGCCGCTAAACCCGGGGGGTTGTAATTGGGACACTGAAACTGGCAAGGGGTGGGGGGTTACAGGGCCAGACCGAGGAAGCCGAGGAAGCTGCGCCCTGCAGCTGCGTGCCCATCTCTCAGCGCCGTAGACCGAGGCTGCTGGAACCCAGCGTAGTTTTACTTTGTCCCCGTCCCCCTCTCAGTCCCTGGTCCAACATGATACTGACCAAAGCCCAGTACGACGAGATAGCCCAGTGCCTAGTGTCTGTGCCGCCCACCAGGCAGAGTCTGAGGAAGCTGAAACAGAGGTTCCCCAGGTAAGTGCCCATTGCTTCCTACTCCCAGCCCTTTCCTTGCAGCACAGCTGTCCCTGGGCCGCCCTTTAACCTCAGCAACCACGTGTCACACACAAGTGGGGAGGAACCCAGGCGTCAGGTTTTAAATCGAGGAGAGTGGAAAAGGTTCCATCTTTCAGCTGCCTTCCTTATGTATGAAGCCCCTGCGGCCTCCCAGTGCAATGAAATGCAAGGCGACAGATGTTGATTGCCTACTTGGTCTGTGCTAGGGGCACCTAGTAGGTCTCCACGTGTGCCTGGCGGTTACTGGACAGATACTAGGGATGAATTATGAGTGGCAGGGCGCTCTCAGAATGGAAATAGGATTAGAGGATTCAAAAGGACGGGGTGGACTTTTTAATGGGCCCAGGAAACACACACAGATTCTTAGGCCCGAGGGGCCTGCTAACTGTTCCACAGTGGCTTTCTAGAATGATCTCGGCGGCCCCCTCCCCCAACAACCCCCAGACTGCCGGGTGCAGTTCTGATAGTGGGATTTTAGGGATCACACTCTTGGGTTAAGATTGGCATTGGAATAATCCTAGATTTACACATTCCTCCCAACGTATCATTTTCCCAACCAGTTTTAGGGTGATCAGACTCACCAAGGCAAGGATTTTAAGAATTATTCGAGAAATTCTCATTTTAAGGATGCGGTATCTGAAATTATACGAACCAGTTAGAGCAACCGGCTTGTTTTATATATATATATATACATATATATATATATGTATATATATATATATCATGTTAAAGTATGGAGAATTTCTATACCTTTCTTCTAATTGAAGTCCAAATACAGACTTGAATCATTCTGTGACACTGAGCATCTTTGCCCCTTATGGCCAAATTCTGTCTCTTTGATGTGTTAGTCCTTAAACAAATGTCATCCTAGAGGTGTTTTCTTGAGAGAATGGAGAGAATTAGATGTCTGGCATTAGAAAATACAGACTGAAAGAGTCTTTCAAAACTGAAAGGCTCAGTTTTCCTAATCTGTAAAATGAGTTGTATGTTTATTGTATTACTTAGGTTTCATTTAGGGCAACATTATCCCTTTATATTCTTTATTAAATTTCTTTTCATTATTTATTTTGGCAGCCCAGGGACCAAACTCAGGACCTCACACATGTGCAGCAAGCACTCAACATCCTTGGTCTTATTTCTTATTCCTTTTAACTCAATATCTAATGAAGAGCAAAACTAATTATTATTTCATTTTATTTTTTTTGGTAAAAAATATTTTATTTTTAAAAAATTTTATTTATGTATTTATTTTAAATTTTTATTAGTGAAACACCATGAGGTACAGTTGTAGACTTACAAATTTTTGTGCTTGGGTTTCAGTTATACAATGATCCAGTACCCATTCCTCCATCAGTGTTTTTACTCTTTCCAACTCTGCCAATGAACAGTGAAATGGATGAAGGTCTGTCAGCTGAGGGAATAGGTAGAATATGGCTGGGAAAGGAAGGTAGTTGTAAGATAAAAATGTATATTTTGATAGTCTGGTCTTATTATATACTTATATTACCCAATATTTTTATTCTCTTTTTTCTTTCCCTCTCTCACTTTTTCCCCTATAGTGTATCTGTCCACTAGCAGAAACTTCATCTCTACATGCTCGTAGCAGCACTTATTATGAACTTTTGGGGTGCCAGCCTATCTTCTTGCTTATGCCCCTCTTTCCTCCCCTCTTATTCATGATATTATTTCCAACTATTTTTCACTTCTTTTAAATACTACCCAAGGAATAACTAACTCTTCTCCCATGAAAACTTTATTTGGTGAGATTGCATTACTGATTTAAAGAGCCATTTAACAGCCTGAGTGGGAATTCCGTCAACATTGTGACTTTAGGTCTGGTTTCATCATTTTCATTATCGTACTTTTTTTCTTTAGATGTTCATTGCAAAGGACTAGAGCAATCTTTAGATTTGATAGTTCATTATAGTAGAGTCGGTTGAGAAAGGACCTCAGATAATTTCTTGTGGTTCAAAGAGGTTAAGTGACTTGTCAAAAAAACCCAGAGATGTTTAATAGCGCAAGTGTCTAGGATACAGGTTTCTTGACTTTCAGTTCAAAGTTCTAAACTTAAGCTGCCCTCATTATTTTTATTAAAAGTAACTTAGACAATTATTTTTGGAGAGTAGCATTCACTTGCATTTTGTTCCTAAAGAAATAAAAACATTGGTGTTTTAAAAAGTTGTTTAAATTTTTATTTCCTCATTTTAAAACTAGTATATGGTGGGACCTCAGATATTGCACAGTTACTTGTCTTGCATGAAGCTGATCCAGTTCAATCCCTGGTACCACAGATGGTCTTCCAGGCACTGTAAAGATTAATTCATGAGCACAGAGCCACATATGGCGCTGAGCACAACTGCCTGTGACCGCAAACCAAGCAAACAGTAGCAACCAAACAAACAACAGTAGCAACCAACCAAACAAATACACAGTAGCAATCAAACCAAACAAATAAACAGTAGCAAACCAACCAAACAAAATAAACAGCTGATCTTATAAAACCCTGTGCAGACCTCAGGGAATACCAGAGTTCATTGACTATATTTTGAAAACCACTATTTTTGTTTTAAAGGATTTTGATGTGTATTGAAAAATTACTACGAAAAAGATTGTACTACATTTTTGAGAATATGTCTCTTTTATTGGTAGAAGAATTCGTAATCTTGAATAAGCTAGGTCAAGGTGCTAGAGAGATTGTGCAGTGGGTCCGGTGCTCGCCTTGTGTGCAGCCGACCTGGGTTCCACCCCCAGCATCCATATGGTCCCCAAAGCTCCACAAGGAATTATTTCTGGGTGCAGGCTCAGGAGGAACCCCTGAACATCAGCAGGTGTGACCCCAAAACAAAATCAAGCAAAAATAAGATAGGTCAAGAAATACCTCTTAAATTGCATTGTTATATTTGCAAATGAATTGCACAATTCCCTAAATATCAACTAATTTCTCCTTGAATTTGCCTAACTTTATATTTATCTTCCTTTTTAAAATTGGTTTATAACTTTATCTGCATATGTTAAGGATTGTTTTATGTCATATTTGTTAGAGGTAATTTTCAGTTGTTTGGTTTCAAATACTGTTTTATCTTTGATATTCTTAACTTTAATGCTTTTTTGTGGGTTTACTTTATGCTGAGAAATTCCTTTTTCATCCTAACATATGAAAAGTCTTTTACTAAAATTTTGCATAGGTTCTTTACAATTTTCTTATTCTTGATTAGTTAACCTTTCTAATTAAAATTTATCTTTATAACTAAAGGTGCAACTGATTTGTCCCCACTGTTTTTATTTTATTCTGTCTTCTGTTTGCTTCATTCCCTTACCTGTCTTTGTTTTTACTGTAATTCCACATGTATGTTTTTTTAAGCTGTATAGTCCCCTTAGTGCTGGAGTGATAACACAGAGGTAGGGCGTTCGATTCCTTCACCCCTCTTGGAGAGCCTGGCAAGCTACTGAGAGTATCTCGCCGGCACAGCAAAGCCTGGCTAGCTACCCGTGACGTATTCGATATGCCAAGAACAGTAATAAGAAGTCTCAAAGTGGAGATGTTACTGGGCCCACTTGAGCAAATCAATGAACAACGGGAGGACAGTGACAGTGACAGTCCACTTAACCATTCTGATATCAGAATTCTCCAATTTAAAATGAAGGGATAGAGCTTCGATGTTTATTTATTTTGCTGTAGCACTGTAGCATTGTCCTGTTGTTCATCGATTTGCTCGAGTGGACACCAGTAGCGTCTCCATTGTGAGACTTATTACTGTTTTTGGCATATTGAATACATCATGGGTAGCTTGCCAGGCCTTGCCATGCAGGAGGAATACTCTGAGTAGCTTGCTGGGCTCTCCAAGAGGGACGGAGGAATCAAATCCAGGTTGGCCATGTGCAAGTCAAATGTCCTACCCACTATGCTATCGCTCTGGGCCATTTTGCTGAATACTAACAAAATTTAATTAGGAAATAAATGGGTATACATGAGGTCTTAGACAATAAAAATTAAGAGCAAATACCTAAAATTGGACATTTTGAAAAGAAATGGTCAACAAAATAAAGAAAAAAAACTTAGATGAATGGTATGAGAAAAAGCAGACATATTATCTAGAAATTATTAAGACAGCCAATGCTAATATAACTAAACATTTCCTGTTAAAATTGTTTCCTATTTATTATTGGCCAATTATACTATAGAATTTGGGGGTATAGCTTTATACTTCTATAAGATGTCTAAGAGCTTTATACCTCTAGATGACACCATAGCCACCTCCAGATTCCAGAGCTATGCACAGTCAAAAAGACTCTGCTACACTACCTATTGCTTCCATTGCTTCCCCTTTTCTGGTAATCACTGGAGTGTTACTGAGTCTCTGGGTTAGTTTTGAGGGTTCCTTCCACTCCCCTCACCAAGTTCATATGCTTTAGTTACTTATATTTTGCAAGAGTGAAATTGTCAATAAGTGTCTTTTACTTTATTTCTTGGGCTGGAACTATAGCACAGCGGGTAGGGCGTTTGCCTTGCCTGGCTGACCCAAGTTCGATTCCTCTGTTCCTCTCGGCGAGCCCGGCAAGCTATTGAGAGTATCCTGACTGCACAGCAGAGCCTGGCAACCTCCCCATGGCATATTCGATATGCCAAAAACAGTATCAAGTCTCACAGTGGAGATGTTACTGGTGCCTACTCAAGCAAATTGCTGAACAACAGGAGGACAGTGCTACAGTGCAGTGCTACTTTATTACTTATTTGTGATGTGCGATAATTTACAACTTCATAATGCTGCTTTATTTTTCTACAGTTTTATAATAAATAGTCCATTGTGCCCAAGAACAAAGGACATATTGCATTTATGTACGTTTCTTGGATTGTATCTCCTAGTTTATTTCCTGGGTCATCTTACATAGGTAGGTTTCAGCTGTTACTGATAAAGTTATATTTTCTGTTTTTGTTATTTTTTGGTGGGGGAGAGGGG